TGTGTGTGTGTGTGTGTGTGTGTGTGTGTGTGTGTGTGTGTACTCCCTCATCTGCTTGCTCTTTTTCTTGGCAACATCTGCTTGCTCTTTTTCTTGGCGACAACACCCTCACGTTCTTTTTGACCTCGTGATCTTTCTACCTCCTCATCCTCTTTGTGCTCCTGTTCTCCCCCTGTTCTCCTCTGCCCTGTTTCCCAATTGGACTCAAGACGAACATGTGGAAACGGTGATTTTCCTACCAAAAACACATGTTCCATGCCGAATAAACAACTCACTGCCAGACAGAAGCCAACTCTTTCTCCATTTTTCTGTCTCGTTGTTGCCCTTCTGTCTTCCTGCCTTTCTCTCCCCCTGCCTACCTGCCTACCTGCCTGTCTCTGTCTGTCTGTCTGTCTGTTTGTCTTTCTGTCCGTCTATCCGTCTGTCTGTCTGTCTGTCTGTCTGCCATCTGTCGGTCTTTCTGCCTCTGTCAGTCTGTTTGCCTATATGTATGTATGTATGTATGTATGTATGTATGTATGTATGTATGTATGTATGTATGTATGTATGTATGAATGTGTGGATGTATCATGTATGTATGTATGCATGTACATATGTATGTAGGTAAGTTCATGTGTACGTATCTACGTATGTATGGATGGATGTATGGATGGATGTACATGGCTGAATGTCTGGAGGTCTGGCTGGCTGGCGGTGCGTATCTGCATCTCTGTCCATATCTGTTTGTCTGTTTGTCTGTCTCCTTTCTGTTCGCCTAGCTGTCTTAGTTTGTCTGTCGAACTCTCTTCTTTGCGACTGGCATTGGCCTTGCAGGCAGTCTGACTGCGAGTCTGTCTGCCGTTCTCGGTCTGTCTAGCTGCCTGTCTGACATCAGTTTGGCTATCAGTCTCGCTGTCAGTCTGGCTGTCAGTCTGATTGTCAGTCTGATTGTCAGTTTGATTGTCAGTGTCAGTCTGGTTGTCTGAATGGTGATTGATGTGGTTGTTGGTCTTCCCTGTCTCCTGGCCATTATAGAAAACTTTCAGAAAGGACATTGCAGAAAACTTGATTTTTTTGTGGAGACAGGATTGAAAGGCGCTATGCAGCCGCCGCAGTTATTAGCTGCCAGACTCGCAATGGTACCCAGGCACTTTGTACTTCTCCCACAGAGTATTCCAAGTGGTCCCCACGCTGTAGTAGATGAGCACGAATGAACACACCGCTTACCAATGAGAGTCCTCCGATGGCCCATGAATATGTCATGGTCCCACTGCCACTGCCTTTGTCTGATTGTCGTTTTCTGTGTCGAACCCGTCCCTCCGCCGATGCCTGTGCAGGTTAAATTTGGGCATGGACCTCTTTTCAAGGCAAGAGTCCCAAGGGACAGAGGCTGAAGACGTTTTTAAGTCCGTCTGGAATCATCTTGAAGCAATCGTGTGTTGCTCGTGGAAGGTAATCTATTTCTTCCCCCCACAGCCCCCCCCCCMACCCCCMACMCCCCCCCCCCCAAAAAAAAAACTTAAGTTTACTCTTTCTCCCAAAGGTAACCGCTTCTAAGAGAGAATGTGTGTGAGGACTTATGATGGGAGGAAGAGCACTGATACAGTCTGTGTGGCATTCTGTGTTCCACACGGGCCCTACCGGACCCAACCAGGTAGGCCTAGGGGGTGGTTACGGGGTATTTGGGTCCAGTTAGGCCCCGTATCGTTTCGGCCCGTTTTAGGCCCGTAGGTTCGTAGGACCAGCTAGGCCCCAGTCAGACAACACAGGCCTGGCGCAGCTGTGCGCCAGGCCACCGGTCCCTTTTTTTTTTTTTTTTTTTTTGGAGAACTATAGAACTTTTCATTGCAAAGGGAACAAAACCGAACAGCAACGGGGCCGGGAAACCCCACAAAATCCCGTAATGTTCTGGGGCCGTTACCCAGCTTAGGCTCCTGGAAACCGGGTCCAGTGTCCCTTCTCAAAAGTTCTCCAAAATAGAAAAAATAGGTAAAACTCCAGAAAGGGAAAAAATCCTGGAGACCTCCAATCCTTCCGACCATCCTCCTCTTCAGAAGTTAAAAAGGACTCTATGGGGGGGAGCTAAACCGCTCTCCGTGACCAAGTGGTGACAACAACCATTGACAAAAATGTAACCTACCAACAGAGTCCAGTTTAACTAGGGATGAGTCCCATCCCCAAGTATCCCAAAACCATTTCCTCGCTCTCTGATTCCCGGGCAACTTCTTCTTTGCACAGTCGCTACTGATGATCAGTCTAAGTTGGTTTGCCACCGTGTTTTTAAGTTGGGGGTCAGAGATACCAGAAGCTCTAAACAGTTGATTGTTTCGAGTATCCCAAATGATTTTCATCAACATCGCCCTGCAGTTCTGAGCCACATATAACCAGTGCTTTTCCTCCTTAATCCCAAATTATGTGAGTCCCTGAGAGAATCCATTCGTCAGACCATAGAAATGTCCCTTTTGTAAATCTGTTCCAGTGCTTGATCCACCGGTCCCTTTTCGCGCTGCCAGGTTAGGCGCCTGGCCGTTCAAGGCCGCTTGCATAGCGCAGCTGCGGTGTACCGCAGCGGAGGGGAGAGAGAGAGAGAGAGAGAGAGAGAGAGAGAGAGAGAGAGAG